CCATCGAAGAGAGGTGTCGTTTAGTAAAGGAGATGACGTCCTCCTTTCGACACAGCATATTACTCTCAAACACCCTGGAACTCGAAAACTATTACCGAGGTGGATTGGGCCCTTCACCATCCTCGACCGGATAGGTTCTGTCGCATATCGACTAGAACTCCCGGAAAGCATGCATAGGATACATCCAGTATTTCATGTATCGAAAATTAAGCCTTATAAGGCAAGTGGCAGAGTACAGCCACCCCCAGTACCTATCGAGATCGAAGGTGAACTGGAGTATGAAGTTGAACGTATCCTTGATAAAAGGATTAAAAAGCGTGGGAGACGCAAAAACTATGTTGAGTACCTTGTCAAATGGCTGGGATATGGACATGAGCATAACAGCTGGGAATCAGCAAAGTCAGTTGCAAATGCACAGGAATTGGTTCAAGCATTTGAAAATGGCAGAACACCTGTGATGCGAATGCAAACTGCATGAAGTACGGGATGTACATACTGAAACATGCTCATGTGTGCTTATGCTTTTGACAGGTTCTCTTGCGCTGGGCCCAGAAAAACACTGGGTATACTGCCCCCCGTGCAAGATCGCAGTTTGGACACATGAACGCCATGTCCGTTGCGATCCTCAACGGGGAGAGGTTGGAGACCGCCGACCCCTACGTGCCATTTCCCCGTGCGCCTGAGCGTGCACGCGGACGTGGGCGACGGCGGGGTGCCGCACCGGGCCGATCTGTACCGGCGTGGGCTGCTGGTGGTACTCGGCATCGTGGTCGCCGATGAAAGGCCGGAGGTCAAACATTTCCAGCCACTTGGCTGAGGAAGAGTTTTAATGAGGGTTGTGAAGGCCGGGACGGTCATGTAAAACAACCACTCTTTCTCTTCATCCAAAACTGTTTTGTGTGTTGTGTTTTGTTAACTGGGCATGTGGCAAATCGCACAGCCAGTTCCATCAACATACATACAATATATCTGCTCCCGTATCCACTTATACTGGGACGAGGACGCCCCTCTCCCTGAGGGGGACGAATGTTACGCGCACCAGCCTGATGTGGGAGACGTCCTACTAATGGCCCTTGGTGTGGGGGACGCCCTGCCCAAGGCACGTACTATTCCTCACCCACTGTAACCTTTATCCATATTAGGATACGGGAGTAGGACGGGTGGTCCCGCCTAGGTGCCCTGTAAGGACCTAGGTGCCCGGCGAGGCGGGTCCGCGGCTCAAAGAGGGCAGGAACCCCACACCCACATCCTATTCGTAACACAATTCGCTCAATTCATGAGCAAACAGCTCTCCGTAGCAGTACACTAGGGTGTTGAATGTTGATCGCTGCTCAGGTGTTGCTGTGTCACCAATATTCAAAGTGTCGACATTATCCACTGTAATGTGGAAACAATCAACAACCGGTGACCTGCAATAAATTGCATCAGCCGTCACTGGTTGCACAGCACGACCTGCCTTGCGAACATCCCACAGGAGCCCCATACTCTTAGAATTCATCCCACCGGCTCTTTTGGAGTCATCAGTTGGCACATTGCTCTCAATTCCTCCTCCATAAACATCATCCAATGCGATGCTCAATGTAGTCTCTTCGAACTGAGTAGCCAACACAGCTCTATCGACAGCATTTGTCTCTCGATTGTTTATCCACTTGGTGTTCTAGCTGACGTCTTCTGGATCTGCTTCCACTTCTGGTAGGAAACCATCATGGACTAGCCCAGAGTCGCAATTTGACTCAGAAGGCCTGTTTTTCTCCTTTGACTCATCTTGCACCAGTGGCGTCTCGTTCAGCACATGTTGCTCACCAGAATCGTTTTCATGACCCACCAACACCAGATATCCTTCTGTTGCTTCTTCTTCCAACTCCTCTGATTCTGCTTCTTCTTCGGTCACTTCGCTTTCTGATTCATAATCATCGGAGTCATCAGACTCACTGGTCGCCACTGAAGTGTCACCAGCGATTGCTCCCGTCTCATGAGTAATGCAATCAAGCAACTCACAAACATGCTCAGAATCGGTGAGCTGTGTCGGCACCCCCACCAATGGCAAGAAGCTGCCCTCGGCATTCTGAATAAAATGTGAATCTGTGCCCCAGAATGACATCCCTTGGTTAAGCCTCAACCATGGTTTACCAAGAAGTGTTGGGTATCCTGCGTTGGTGTGCATCAGATGGAACAAAACATCCGTCGTGACACCAGCCACATCAACATGAGTTTTGGCGTAGCCACGCAAAGGTCGCCGTCCACCATCTGCCATACGCACCATAGCACCACTGGGACTTAAAACACGCAATCCACACGTTTTTGCTGCATCTGGTTCCATCAAGTTCAGCATTGCTCTAGGGTCAATAATAACCCCTTGGCAGGCCCGATCAGCAATGTGGCAATCAATTCTGATTGCCTTTTCGGTTGTCAGCTTGTTAGCCTCAGCTGCCATCACTTCTGGTGCTCTTGTGACTGGTTGTATACTTGCGCCTGGCTGTGCACTGTTCATACCTTGAGGCTGTGAGCTGCCTTCCACATCCATAGCTTCTCCCTTTGGCTTTGCTTTCTTTGGCCTATCTAAGGCAATCCCAGTGTGCAATTCACGTCGCACTGTTGGGGATACTTGGAGCAGCTGTCCCAGCGAAATTGAAACCGGCAGATTGAACAAAGCTTCAGATACTTGGAACTTGGGTTTCCCCCGGCCACACACAATTTTTGTCAATGGAGTACCCTTCTTTCGTTCTCCCACACGCCTGACATGGACTCTTTTCTTGCTTGGTTCTTCTTTGTCCTCTTCAATCGCTTCTTCACCAGCAAATGCTTCCAGTTCCATTGTCATAGCATCATGGCTTCCTTTGCCATTCACACAACGACCTGATGATTGTCGTTGATGGCTCTGAGATGGATCATCAGGACCTCGAATGTCCTTAGCTCGGACATTTGTAGCCGTTCCAAGAGGTGTTGCATTTGCTCCCGTCAGTGGTCGACCTCTACCAGCATTGTTTTGGTCATTGTCTTGATGCCAATTGTTGTTGTAGTCAGCTCTGCCACCAATTTGATTCTCTCTCCAAGCCAAGCGTCCTCCACCTCTTCCACGACCTCTGCCACGATTGGCTGGCCCCGAATTCCCAGGAAAAGGACTCGATTCTGCACGGTCCTTCGAGCCCATCGATGTGACCATCATGGCAGTGAGTTCACTCATTGATTGTGCCAACTTCTCCACATTTCGCTGCAGCCCATCAATGTCGGTTTTGTCTGATGTTATGGCCCGACTCCTCATGAGCTCGCCAGCTGCTGGCAACTTCCCTTCCATAAGAAGTGTTGCTTTCTCTACTCGCTTGGCTTCTGCCACTGCATGGTCAAAATCAGGAATATCCGCTTTCAAAACATCCAAGCGGAATTCCTTCTTTAGGCCCATAACCCAATAACGTCGAAGTGCACTGATGGGAAGAGCATCCCCATCAAGTGCTTCCCGTTCTGCATGCAAACATTTGTACCTCTCGGCATAAGAGGCCACTGATTCATCTTCCACTTGTTTTGGGTCATGCAAAGCACACTCAATCTGCTCCAAATACCCAGGTGCTCTAAACCTTGCAACGAATGCAGCCTCAAATTCATCCCATGTACGGTCATCACCTTCCCAATGTGTTGCTCTACTATTGTACCATGTCTCTGCCTCTTGTTCAAAAACTGCAACAGCATTAGCAATCCTTGCTGCTGACATGTCCCAGCCATTACTCCTTGCTACCCGTAGGAAATGCTTGACCCATACCCCTGGGTCTTCTCCCCTTCCTGTGAAAGGACGTGCCTTTGGTTTGACACCGTGCACCATGCTGCCTCAATGTACTAGCACTGCCACATGGGCTGCTCACGTCCTGCCACGCTGCTCGCTCGACACTAGCAGTGACGCTCCACCGTATCAGCGCGATGTGTCACCCTGTAGAATTATACCGTTGGCTGACACAAGGTGACACAAGCCGACACAAGCTGACACAAGCTGACACAAGCTCTGACACAAGCTGTTGTCCTGCTGACTCCTTGTCACGCAATCCTCGCTGTGGGGATGTGTGTGCTGTGTGGCAAACACGTGATCCCTTGGACACCTCAACAACCACAATGAATCGCCGACACCATCGCAACACAGCGCGTTGTACTGCTCCAAGCCATTGCACAGCACTACGAGAGTTGTGCCGCACTGCGCGTCGACCCTTGGGAGGAGGCTCAATCAGTCAGCGAATTGATCCCCTTGGCGGCGGCTGAGCCACTCTGCTATGGCGCACCAGCGACACGTTGTCGCACTGCCCGTTGGACTCGCTCGCAACGTACGATTCCCTCCGTATTCAAGTCAACGGTGGAAGCCTTGACACAAAACTGACGCCCACGCCTAGCGACGGCTGATTATCGCTGGCGCTCTTGCCCAAACACTCCAAAAGGCCCACACGAAATGGACTCTGGGCCGTTGGAATCCCGTCGTAACCAACCGCTCGATGGATGTCTTGAATCTTCGATCCCAAAAAAGTTCTCGGAAACATCGCCTGGGCAACGTAGAACTCCAGTGCTCTTGGCGCTCAGTCCGCCCCCAGGTTGCAACAAGGTAACCTGGTCCGTGTCTCGACTTGCACACCCCCTGCCTCGGGTGCCAAATGACGAAGGCAGGCAGGGTCGAGGGGTGGCGATCCCGGAATGGGGATTGTACGCTCGAGTCCACGGCAACGGTTTACAGCCGAGGCAAAAGGACAACAAGCGTTCTGTCCTTTATACTCCGTCCGTTCATCAACATCCTTAATGCAATTCCTAATGCCTCATCATCTTTTCGTGCACTCAGTTAATAATAATACTCAATCAGTTCTAGCCGTAACAGCGTGACCTCCCCACCCCCGTTTGGGCGTTGCGAGGGACCCACTGACACATAAAGATTTAACAGTGCCACATTCCCAACAGTGGATTGCCTTCGCCGCGGTAGTCGGGGTCGCGCAGTCTTGCGCGCGTTCGACCTCCGCAGGCGCGCTCAGCCGAACATGTCCCTCCTCCTGAACAGGGCGCCCCGGGGTGGAGGCCCCCGGGCGGCGGAGGCGACCACGCCGGCATCGCCGATCCCATGCGGCCGCCCGAGGGTCGAGAGGCGGCGGAATGGCGGGATGCAAGGAACGAGGGGGCAGGGCAGGAGGGCGGGAGACAGGCGGGCCGCCGGGGGTCACGTGGTCGCCGCCGCGGAGGCATCGGCGCCGTTCAGACCGGACGACGTGAGTTGGGGGGCGCTTTCTTGAGCGCAGCGGACCGCGGTCCCGCGAGATGGGAGATTGGGGCCGTTGCCGATGCGTACAACGCATGCGGAAATCCTGCACATGCACACCCTGAACCCTGACGCCCAACGCCAAATCCTCACCTGTCATCGTATCCGCACGCGTTGTCTGCATTAGGAACAGTGTGGGGAATTCTGACCTTGGCTTTGCCTAGAGATGGACTCCCGAGTTGGTAGCTGCAGTTTATTGTTACAAGGCGGTTTGAAGCCGGCTGCTGGTTAGTGTCGCTGTTCAATAGACTGGAAGGTGTGTCGACGCTGACAAGTGCTGTCTCTGCTTATCGTGCTTGCCATGGCCTTCCTGCGCGTCTGCGATTCCAAATGTTGAATAAATAGAATGCGGCCTGTGGCAAGATGAATGACGAAAGTGATTTGCAAGGACCTGAAATTAAAAATACAAGGGTCTGTGTTGTCCACCTGGGCTGGGTTGATATTTCTTACATATTCCTGTGGCAACAAGAAGTCATGTGCATGGCAACACTGACTCATCGATATACCAAACAGTGCAATTATTGTATGACAATAACTCGAAAAGGATCCAACACATAGCCCAAATCCGTCCACAAATCCAAGGTTGTCAGCCTGTGATATGCACCAGTGTCGTCCACTTGTGATCTGGTGTTGACCATCTCTCGGGTGTGTAGCTAAGTACAGAGGTCGCAGGCAGTGCATCAGCAGGTTCAGAATGTCTGTAAAACGTGAAAGCAGGAGTGAAAACAGGCAAGAGTGCATTTGTGCCCCCTCACTTGGATGCTGCCTGGTTTATGCGAGCTGACTGTGCAACATGACTTTTTGAACTGTGCCAAGCTCTGACAGATTGTTTGCTGTTGCCTGGCGGTATGTCCCAAAGCCATAAAACGGTTTCCACCTGGACGTGAGCTTGTGTGCTGCTCTCAGTCTGTCAGTGTGCTGCCTTCCGCAATGTTGCTGATGCAGTGTCCCTTAGAATGTTCGTGTGCAAGCGTGCAGACAAAAACACAGGTGAAGGCTTGGCAAACTCTGCTGGAGCATGCATTCATACTACTCCCACCCCGACTCTGTCCAATCGTGCAATATTCTTGCTCCATCAACTGTCTCTATGTTCTTGGCAGGATGAATGGGATTGTTTACCTTAATGGCATTGAGCCATGTTAAATTGATGTCCCCTACATTCCCAACGCTGCAACACAGCATAGGGTCTTTCATAATGTGTTTGGCTGATGGGTTCCACAAACAGAACAGAATAGAGCAGGCACACCTGGCACCACAACATGGCAAGATAGCAATGATCATGTCCCACATCAGCAAGCAACAGCAACTACAAATTGTTGATGTGCCAAGATGCAGGCAGTGATGTTGGTCTTCTGAAAGCACATTTTGCGCTTTCAAACAGGCTGACATGTCATGTTGATGTTGTAGGTTCTGCCTGACAACCTTGCCGATTGCATCTTCCAGTCCAGTGAAGCCACTGCTGCTGCATTGAAGAAGGGCATCCTAAGATGTACAGTTGAGTGAATGCTGCCACTGTCGCCACAGAAATCAGCTAACATGGGAGTGGGTGGGTGGTGTGTATGAAGCCATCGATGGCAGGGATTGAAATTGCAGGACAGAGGGCTGTATCACAGCATCACAAATCAAGATGCCTCCATGTCCATGCAAATGGGAATGAAGAGTTCCTTGGAGGATTAGCGTTGTTCCTCACTTGTCGGATGGCACTGATGCACATTTGACCAACAGCTGCTGCTCTAAAATCGATGAGCATTTCTAATGTACACTGAGCCAGGGCAGCCTGCTTTGAAGATAGTCTTGAGAAATATCTTGTATTCGTAATTCTTCAAAAGATTCAAGAACTGCCCCTTCAAGAAGCACATCACACAATAATGTAGCCAGTTTCCTGTTGGCGCATGCGGTACGAGGCTGCAAAGCCGATTGAGACTGATCTGTGATGATGCTTTTTTTTATCTTCTGGAATCTAGCTGCAAGGGCCATATGATATTAAGTGGCATGGAAAATGTTTTGACATTTTCAACCACCACACACCATTGATAATCTCTTCATCATGTTCAGCATTGAAACTGTGTTGCAATATTCTTGAACAAGTGGAGGTACCTTGTCTATACATGGTGTGTTGTATGCTTCAAGCGCAAAGGGGTATGTGGTATGGCATATCATGTGTGCAAACAAAACTTTGTCCTTGTATACAGTGCATGGTATGGCCTATATGTGTGGTTGTGACCCCTATCTTAGGTCGTGTGGATGAGGCTTGTCCCCCTTGGGAGGGCTATTCATGTGGTAGTTGGTTGGCAAGCAATGGATTCTGGTTCATGTGCAACACTGTATCCTGAACAGTTGCCATTCACTAAGCATGAGTACTCTGCATGGTTTGCATCTGTAGGCATGTCAAAATAATGCTTTGCAACAATAGATGCTTAACTCAAGTGTCTAAAGCATCTGAATAGAAAAGGCTGGTTGGAGGATGCATCGTTGGCTTGGCAGGGGGTGGCTTGAGCAACAGACATCACCATGTACACAGTTCACCTCACAAGGCAGTGCACAATGAATAATAATACACAGCACAACAGTGTACACATTGTCATCACTTACTGTTGCCTGGAAGTGGTGCATCACAGTGGGGGCACATGCTGACGATGGCTTTGTGTGTGGCTGCAAGCAGGTGGAGATCCTGTTGCCCGAGTTCTGGGACCCAACGTCTGGACCAGTTTTTTCGGAGGATGGCGACCAACAGCGCTTCTGGAAGCTGACCAGGAGGTTCGTTGACAACCTGATGGCATCAGGAGGATATGAGAGAGTCAGGGTGGTGAGCAGGGCAATCTATAGGGTTGCACAACAGCCCCAATGGGAATGAGTTTGCAACCCGTTGTGTTTCACAACGCTCTTTGGATTGCATCTGAATCCACAAAACCCCCTTCTGGGCAATATGTATGTAACAAGCTGTGGCAGGTACTGGGTCTTGCACCAACTATGATTGAAGCAGTGATATGGACATTACCACCCACAACACCCACCCTACCTCTCCTTGTTGGGTTGGGTGGGACTCTCTTAAATGCTCTTGATATTTGTGCTGCCATCGGCGGCACATTGATTGAAGACCTGTTTGAAATCATAACAAGCAGTTTCTTCCATTGTTTAACACTATTTATTGCATGATGACGCTGTGTCGTAACTGTTCTTAATGCTGCCCTTGCAACGTGCGAAATCGCGATTTTGGGGCGATGTTCATGCTTTCGTCGCATCGCACGTGATGCACGTGGGTTCCAGGCATGCTGCTAATGTTGAAGCGATTTTGCTGAAAGCACACTCACTGTAGTGGTCAGTGCATCACGAACACTTGACCCAGGCTGCTGAAACTCGCTAAGTCACCAAAATTAAGCAAAAAATAGCCACAATTGCAGCAAGGAAAATTTCAGCATCAGTACGTTGTCTGGGATCTTTGGGTGGAGCTGACTCATCCACAGGGGCTCTGCACTACAGCTGTACCCTGACATGGGCGTAACGGCCATGCTGAAGAACCAGTGGCCCGACGCCCCATTCGAGATCGACTGCCTGAACGACCTTCGGCCCTACAAGGACGAGGATGAGGTCATCGTCATGGCTGCCGTCGACCCGCTCGGCGCCGACGACTGCCGGAGGATCGCGGCGGAGGTCCTCGATGAGAAGCCGCTTATCCTGTTCAACCCCAGGCTTTCCAGGTTGAAACCCGTTCGGACATCGCATTATTCTATTTTACGAACAGCTTTCCTGTTGCCCCGTTCGTGCTTATGTTATCTGTGAAAGCGTGGGGAAGCAGCGGCCTTGCACCCCCTGAGGGCGACTGCGGGCACTGTTGTATTTTGCACAGATACAATGTTGCCTTAGAGGATGGCTCCACGGCCTCTGTGCTGAATCCCAAGACCGAACTCATGTGCCTCCCCAAGCCGTCGATTTACATCGCTGATCATTTTCCTGCTTTTATTCTCGCCTGTTCAACCCCTGAAAGACAGAAAGGGTATGTGCAGCGTGTATGGAAACATGAATATGAGAAACACTTCAGAAGCTTGCAAGAGGAAAATCCATCGACGATTGCCTTTCTGCAATATTCGTTTATTGATCCACTGATCGATTGATTTATTACTTTGATGATTGGCTGATTGATCGATTGAATGTTTTCTTCGTTGCTTGACTGACTGACCCGCGGTGTGTGATGCATTGGCCAGTGGCGAGGTGGGCGTCGGCCTCAACATGCGCCGCATCCAGAACCAATTCCTGCAAACCTTCCTGGTCACGTACTCCATCCGGCCGCTGGGCGACATCGGCTCCGTCTTCAGGCGCTACCCTGGCATGTGGCAGGTGTTCGTGGAGGACAAGGAGGCGCCCGGGAGGTACCGCGTGGCGGCAGAGCGGCCATCCAGACCCGGAGGTCAGCTTCTGGGGGAGGGCAGACAAGTCTAATAGCAACAAACCAAAGTTGGTTGATTGGTTAGTTTTTTGTCTGATCCTGTATAAATCACGTGAGAAGCTAATGGCATCTATTCAGTAGTGGTTGAGATGGCACCTTCTTGGAGAAGTTTTGTTGCACATGTTTTCTGTATCAAATTTCTTACATCGGGTGTTGGCTGTGCTTTTTTCTGTGTTCGTTTTGGTTTTCTGGCTCCCGATGTGCATGCATGTGTGCGCTTCTCTTTCCAGGCGAAGCTCTAGAGTACATTATTAAATCCGCCCTCAACCCTGGGGCCGCCGACGCAGAGGGGCAAGGCGGACAGCCAGGCCTCCTGGACCAGATTTCCTCCACCGTCTCCTCCATCCAGAGGTTCATGAAGTCCATTTCCAAGTGACGCAGCGGAGACGGACTGATGCACAGGTGTCCACATTTCCGGAAACATGTCACTGGCGACAGACGTGGATGTGCACTGTTGGTGCACATGGTTGCACGCTGTTGATGCACAAGGATGTGTGCTGCTGATGCATGCGGAAATACTCTGGTATGCGCGGTGCGGATGCACATGGATGCACATTTGCCTGTAGGGCGCCCGCAGTGCTCTTGTGCGACGTCTTTGGCTAGCATGAGTCTGGACGTTGGAAGGGGGTCGCATTGAAAAGGAAGATAAAGCTTAGAGTGGTAGGACAACAATCAATCTGCAGTTCGTCAGTGGCAGCGATCTAGTATTGTGCTGTGATTACGTTTGTGAAGATCTATTAGAAAACGGAGCGGCTTGATGAGAGGGGGAAGCGAGGGGATGGGTTGATGCCTAAGGTGCAAGCCGCGCAATCTGGCAGTGGCAGCACTGCCATGCGATCTGGGGACGCCCCTGCACAGCAACGCGCCAAGGATGGCTCGTTGCGCTGATTCTGCATCGTCGAAAATTGGAAAGAAAACAACTCACACAATGGGCATCCCCTTCGCAGGCAAGTTTTGGGCGAGCTCTTCGCCGTATGGTGACAAGAGCGGGGCCTTTCATTGGCTCAAGCGGGGCCAGTTGTGTCCTGTTCCCATTGTCTGGGTCAAGTCCAGCTTTTCAAGTCCACGAGCGGCCTGAGACTGGCACACAAGCCTTTGACAACAGTTTCAGTGCCGACAGCAAACTCGCCACCCTTAGCCGTTTCCCCAGCATCTGACATCCATCCATGTGTTTTTACAGCCTCCACAATGGTGGCACCAGTCAGTGAACACATCAGGCGTGCGTTCGCCAAGTCGGCACTCCCAGCTGCCCCCATGTCGGTCGTCCCACCCTATGCCCCTGTTGAAGGACCCTGTGCAAAGCCCCCCACACTGTGCCCTCATGTTTAGGACCATCCGTTTCAACAACTCGCTTCCCCCACAGATTTCCTACTACCCGCTCCCACGGTCGCTTCATTCGTTGCCCAACACCTTGAGGAGCCACAGGCGCAATCCAGGGGCAGGACATCCGAAATGGGCACCAAGCCCGCATCGAAACAGATCTGCAGACGCCGAGCGTGGCAGTGTGCCCAATTTCAATTTCCATGTCCCCCAAACTCCAACGAATCCAAGATTTCCGCGCACAGGCGCTCGCACAGACCCTGAGCCCAAACTGAGAAAGAAGCTTGAAAAGCCCTTGACCCTAAAACTACGACGTGCCTGTAGGGACGCGCGCTGACCGAGGCATCACAGACACCGGCCTGGGCTCCCTCCGTCCCTTCGGACAAACGCATAGATCAACTAAAGCACAAAACACAAAGAAAAACAACATACGCTCTAGTCTCAATGACAATGAAGGGGCGAACGCCGCCTTTCAATCCCACGCAACTCCCAATCGCAGGCTACTTTCCCCGCCATCGACTCTGTTTCGTACACCGTTTCGCTGCAGTTCCGCCTTGTCATTTGCTTTTGGAAAGACAAGACGGCGCCTTGTTGCCAGCTCTCGCCTCTCGCCGAGCACCGCGCCCTCATGTCGTCGGGTACGAACTGTCGCAGCGCCATTCCACCTTGACGCCCCTCTCGATGCTCGTCGCCAGCCCGCTCACGTGCAGCGACCCCCTCGCGACGTCGCGCAAGATGGCGGCCTGCGGGTGCGCCGCGCCGTTCACATTCACTGAGACCTCGATGGTCGCAGCGCCGTGGGGCAGCCCGGGACCGTCCCGTGCGTCGACCTGTGGGCAGTGCACACTTGTAAAAGCGGGCCCCAGGAAACAGGGACGATCAGCTCCGCGCTTGCGCTGGGCCCTGTAACAGCGTACCTCGCGATGTGCGCTGTTTTCAGGGGCCCACATGACCCGAAAATATTTCAATATGCACAATTGCTATGATATGTTTTCGCTGATGCAAGATGGCCAAGACAACAGGGTTGAGATGACCAGGCGAGTCGTCACTCATGCACCGTCTGAAACGTGCACAATGCGCACAATTTCCATCGATACAACAAGCCATGTTTGAAACCGCAGATTTAGACAAAAAGAGAGCAACCGTGCGACGTGTGTGACATGGGCCGTACGTTTCTGCCAGGGCATGCTGGCATCGGCACATCACGCCCGGCCGCCCTCAGGGCCGCGAAGGTCTGCACGCGTTTTCTCAACGCATCGTCCCAATCAACCCACAGCGACTCACAGCAAAGTTCATGGCGAAAGGCCGCAAGGATTCAGCATCTAAGCCACAGGCACGGCAGGGCATGTGCTGAGCACTTTGCTCCCCTACAATCTCACCTGCGGGCATTCGAAGCCTAGCACGTCGAGGCCGCCGAGTTGCGGGATGGATCGCTCGGCGTTGGATGGCGGCACAGCTGTAGTCGTCAGCACGCCCCGTCCATGAGCCGTGCGTGCCTCAAATTCGACTGCACCGGCAGGCACAGAAGAGCGATCCCGGTGATCAACGAGTAAACAAAAGCACTTTTCTCCGTTTTTGGTTTAGAAAAAGAGAGAGTCGTGCACCAGCGAAGATTGTAGGTGAAGGGTGGCAAGCAGTTGCTTAGAAGCGGCACAGGTTGTAGCGTTGTTGCATTGTCCCTTGACAAGTTCAGCACTTCAAAGCGCTTTACAGGCCGTTGTCTTAAAACACGCCATAGTCTATTCATGAATTCGTCGAAACTGGGAGCCTCAGGGTGTGACCGTTGGCCCCGCATGCTCGCCCGCTATACTCTGAATTGCCATGTCTATGTCCGTCAGGCTTGATTTTTCACATCAAATTTGGGCCCCTGTGACGCGCATCTGACGAAGCTACAAGCACGGCGAACCAACGTTGCTCATGGCGTGAAAATGCCCACGCGCGGCAAAGCTGCAGCGCATCAGCATTGCTCACACATCTGACACCCGATGGTATGATCCAATGCTCACCACAACCCAACAATCATGATCAATAGTGAATAGCTCGATCATGGGCACCGCTTTGTTCGGTCAAAGTGGAAAGCTTAGTCGGCCCGTCAGACGGCTGCCCCTGGCCTTGTTATGTAACAATTCATCACGATGATCACCAACAGCACGATGCAACGGTTGCGGGGCCCGCCTAACCTGTGAAGCTGTCAGGACCGTCCACCTTCAGAGTGTCTCCTGCGTCCATGTACACGCTTCCCTGCGCAGCCAGTGACCCGGAGAGGTCGCCCTCCGGCGCCAGCGCCACGATGAGGCTCAGGGGGGTCTCTCGAACGTGCGCTGTGGTGGGGCCTTGGGCCTGGGTGGGAATAATAGTGCCACCGAGCACGTGCACGGGGATGTCCCCAACCGGCGCCTCGAGGCTGTGCGTCCCCGGTCCTGAGAAATGCGCAACGGTAATCACCCGTCGGCGCTCATTTTGGGCAAAATTGTACAAGGCTTAGTGCTTCGTTGTACTTTGTTCTTTTCCCTTTTCAGAATTACCAAAACTTTTTGAATAGGCATGCACAACATGCAGCCGCTGAATATTGCACATACTGTATGTACTATATGCAACGGTTGCATGTTGTGCATGCCTATTCAAGCCACATACAGCAGCTCCTAAGTGCCTTTCATACGTTTCACAGGCGACTTGCATTTCAGCATAATTTATGATAATTAAGAGGATAGTATCATCATATGATTATGTACTTTTATTCCCACACTATACTTACACATTTCTCGTGTAGTGCAAATTTGTCAAACGGAGTCTGTGGCTATGAGGGCTGTCAGATATTGCAGAGCGACTGCGATTCCTCTGGTTGTCTTGACGCCGTGGCACCGAGCTGCCACATCGCCATAATCAAGCCGCATACAGTGCCAGACAGCATCGCCTTCGTGCACGCCCAATACCCAATGGGAAACACGGCCGACGTGCAGTTTCATAACTCACTGCATTGGTGCATTGCACTATCAGCACCGGCAAGAGTATTTCCTCCCCTAGCAGCTTCTCTTCGTGCCTGAAGGGAGTCAAACTGCTCCAAACTCCGTATCAACAGAGCGCTCCATCATCTAAAACAATTTCGATGCATTTAGATTCGAAATTAAATCCTTCAAACAACTTGCAAACTGGTGGGTCGCTCAACATTTAGCGTCTCTTCAGTGACAAATTTCGCCCGCCCAACAGCTGTGGATTGCCGCAATCCCCACTGTATCCACACTGCCACAGCACATCCCCTCTTTTTTGTGCTCATCGTGTTGGCCTGGGAGACTATATCATCTTCTCACAGAATGATAGAGCCTCGCATACAGCTACTTGGGAGGGGTGCCTTTTATGACATGTTTTCTATTGAAGCGGACAAAATCTCCCCTTTGCCACACACCTTGTATCTTGGAGGCGTTGTTCCAGAGGTCGTACCACGTGCCGTTTGGAAAGTATGCGTCCACGCGGTCCGCACCCTGTTCCAGGACCGGGCTCACCAGCAGGCCGGGGCCCAACAGGAACTGCCGATCGATGTCGTACGTCGTCGAATCCTCCGGGAACGCCATCCACAGCGGAGAGGCGACGGTTCCGCCGGCGCTGTGCACGGCCTTGAAGGCGCTGGTGCGCATCGAAGTGTTTGACAAGTTAGGAACTGAGTCACGACGTCCGTTACGCACAAATTGCTGTTGAGATTGGCAACGGCACTGAAGTTTGTAGTGCCAAGCGTCGTGTTGGACACATTGAGTGCCGCGAATGTTCAGCGCCTCCCTAAATGTGTGCAGCCCTTGCACTCCAGGAAAAGCTATCGCTGCCAGAACTTGGTGTCGATCAATTAACAACTTAACTGCGTGACGAAATGTAGCTGCGGTATCCCCGTGGTTGGTAAGTATATATGCGTGATGCCCACGTCGCAGAAGTCATCACTTTCATGCGAGGCTCAATAACTCAATGCACCAGTCAATCAGCATATCGAACGTCTATGTCCACTGTGTTGTCTTAGCACAACTTATTGCAAGCACATGAAGTTCTTATGTGTTCAACACATATGAAGTACATGCACATGCAAATGGTGTCAAGCACCCTTCCTGCCAGAACGGCTGCAAGGGTGAAGCAGTTATTGAGCATGTGGCCTTGCATGTAAAGCACCACTGCACCAGGAAGTCTTGTATTTTTCTCGCCTGACAGGGTGATATTTACATCCTGTTTTGTTCATTATATCGTGTTATTATTTGTTCTCTAAATCAGCGTTGACTCGAAATCTGAGCTTGGAAGTCGACAAGTTCGTACCTGTAGAGATAGGGGGTGAGCCGCATGCGCATTCCCAGCGCCTTCCGCGCGGCATCCGCCGTCTTGGGCCACAGGTACAGTTCCTGGGGCACGTGGTCGGAGTGAGCGCGCGTGAACGGAGTGAAGGCGCCCAAAGAAATCCACCTGCCAGGTGGGCCAGGAAGCCAAAAAGGGTCAGGAGACTCAATAGGGTTGGGAACAGTTTAAGCCGACACAGGGCGACAGCAGAACGGCAACAGCAGCAGTACAAGTGGTGCATACAATAACAATCACAACAACCTATACTTTGAATTTGCTGTTCATATACTTTATACACACACTGCTATTTATGCATGCGCTGTAATTGCTTTATACATACGCTATGTCCTTTGCAATACTGAGCAGCGTTTCCACACACACACAAACACACACACACACACACTGTGCTGCTGTTGCAGCAATTTAACAGCGAAAAAGAGCAGCCCTCAGATGTGCATTGGTAATTTCGAGTATATTACAGCCACCCCCCCTGACCACCGCTGGGGCCCATTCAAGGGATGGACTTTGAGTTTTGCAGGCGCATTTTGGGATATGACAGTACAAAACGAAAAACGCGCCTTGCCAATGCTGTCTCCCGTGTCCTCTAATCAAAAACATAGCAATGATTGGACGTGTCTACACACAGGTTGCTCTGTGCGACCAATGGGCGAGTCAACAACACGACGTTTGACTTGCTGTATGTTGACCTGTGCGAAATGGCGGGACAAAGGGATGCTGTGGCAAAATTCCTTTCCCCTGGCGTGGCGCACGGAATCGAAATGACATTAGGTCAGTTCGTGAACTCACGCGCCCATCTAAACAACAACCCTGGGGCGACAGCTCACAGAACAAAATATGGTCTTTGCGCTGCCTTGCACGTTCTTGCCAGGTGGCACATGGTCCACATCAAGGCCGGAAATGATGTAGATGTCTGCTGTTATCATCGTGTTCCGACCCGGATTCCTAAGGGGACGCAATATATCTTACAAGAGTGGCAATGTATTAAAGAATAGATGTAGAACAAATACATGAAAAGGAGTGACAATATATTAAAAAAGTAAACACAAAAGAAGACACACAAAAAACTTCTTAGACAAAAGCGAGAACAACAGTCTTCTCACCTCGCACACAGCTCCTCAGTGGTAGTTCCGAAGAATCCGCAGATATCGGCCCCCGTCATGGGTATGCCAAAGAGGTTTGCATTCAGGATCGAGACAATGGACCACCTTAAGTTGTTCCAATCCGCCATGTTGTCGCCGGACCAGTGGGCCACGTACTTGCCGGCGCCAGGGAACGTCGACCTGCGGGTAGGGAGGTGCAGAGATGAACAGGTAAAGGGCTCATATGGTCCGGCAGCAGTATTCGTCCAAGCAGAACGCCCACCAGCCCGCAGGGCGATGGTGGGCACAAGCCATTGCAAAGAGTGTCCACTCAGGGAGGCGAATTTCAGCAAATACTCTTTAATACATGGCAAAACCGGTTAACAAGGATGAAAATGGGTAGAAATATGGTGGAAAGGAGCAAAGAGAGGTGGTGGTTTTGTCAACGCCATTGCGGGCGTCATGGGTGCTGGGCAAACGCATTGGGCGCTGGGCGGCGCATTGTTGTGCGTTGCATTGTATTGTTCAGCGTTGTTTTACTTTAAGCTATCAGGTATTACAGCAACACCAAGTGAAGAAATGGGCCGAAACGTGTGGACTCGCCTGCTGAGCACAAATGGCCGCCCTTCAGTGATCTCGGCCACAGCCTTGACAGTGACCACGGATTCCGAGAAGCCGTAAATGTTGTGGGCGTCGTACTCGGTGACGCCGTCGTGGTGCAGCATGCTCACCGGGATGCTCCTGTCGCTGAGGGGCGCCCCGTTGGCGTTGTTGATCCGGTAAGGGGGGTGCTCCAGGCTCGAATTCGAACTGGGGCAATCAGCACGGCAGAAATGTGAGGGCAACCTTTTTGGGAGGATGCGGTACAAGCGTTGCTACTTTACAATATTTTACATACGTATTCTACAGAGTGTTTCAGGTGCGGGGCGTTGAGGAGATGGCGGGAGCGACATCGCCTGAGAGATGATGTGGACACGTGATCCAGGGTGCCACAAATGAAGGCCTTGTTTTTATGAAACATATCACTGGAATTCCGAGGGCCTCCATAACATGGTAGAAGACAAATGAAGCGTGGCATGGATGAACGAGAGAGCGAACACCCAATGAACGACGGGTGCAATCATGCATCGGACTGATGGTGCTGCAATAATTCGAATTAAACAAGCACTAATACTGGGAAATGAAACAGAAAATGAACGTAAAGAAATGGGCAGGCGACGCATTGGAAAAACAGCATATGCGTCGTTTTGGCAACGAGATCCACTGAGGCCAATCAGCACATCAGGTCACGGTAGTAGACGCCCTGGGACTTAAACGCGAGGCGCATATCGGGGTCTCTTGCATGACTCCTATCGGATCCAAGCTGGAAAGTCTAGTATTCAGAGGTGCTGTGCCCAGAAAGCTTCCAACATTGCCACAAGGCCAATCTGCTGTGGACAACACCGAGTGAATCAAACGCCTGTCCGCGGATAGCACGCTGACTCGCTGCCATTCACAAACCTGAAATCCGAAGAGCAGGCATCCGTCCCCACCATGCCGTGACGGCCGAGATCTGAGGGCAAACACACAGCAAGCACGAACGTCAGAGGTTCGCCAGACTCGGGAGCAGATCTGGGGAAGCCGACCTAATGCAATCGTTCCGCAATCCCGCAGGGGATTTTCTCAGGGACATCTCGGTTCATGTCGTGAGACAAACAAGAATCTCATAGCTGCCCTTTGCTTCATCACAGACATACTTCGCCAACAAAAGTACATAATCAATTACATACAACGTCGAATTTGACCACAATATGCATTACAATTTGTCGTTAGACTCGATGGAAACACATCACTGATTCAGTAGGATGGCACCGCAACACTAAATTGGATGGATGAAAACATATTACTAATGTATTTTCATATACACATGCAATTTCATTAGGAGCCATGTGAATGTGAAATGGGCCAGCCCCACCGTGACTGTTCCTACCCAGGGGCTTCCCGGATCTGCGGTTTGCGCTGCAAAAATTGGACGCCTCGTTCATGTCCGCCCAGATGCCGTCGAAGGCGGCCAGCTGATCGTGAAACTGGCGGAGCTGCGCCGTCCAGTACTCCTGCACGTCCGGGTGGAACCAGTCCGGAAAGTGGACAATGGGCGGCCACACCTGCACGGCGGCGTGAATGCGCATTGGGTAAAGGCATTGGAGGAATGCTGGCGCCAGGTCTGAGCAAGTCTTGAAGAATTTTTGCTAAGTTTGTACAATGAGCATGTCGTGGCTCATGCGAGCAGAATTCAATGAAAGAAATAGCCAAGCATCCCGGCCCTCGGTAGAGTCGGCACAAGCACTTCTTGTGCTTCAAACACATTACATTCAAGATCCTTAGTATCTGTTTCTACAGCGATATTGTGACCTCAGGTGCCAGGATTTACTTGATCAGATATTCGCAACGATTCCGCCGTAGCCCATTCATTCTAAGCGCAGCCACGTTCTCAGCAGTCGGCCCCCCCTTGGGCACAGATAAGACCGAGGTCGCACATTGGTGCGCATATATCGATGTGCACAATCAAGAGACACGCATTAGCACGCTAAACAATTGAACATCATTTGGGCCCGGTTGGCGGATGCATGAACTGGGCACTCGCCAGTGCGCCGATGAAACCTCACTGACAAGGTGAAGACGGGTAACAACCCGCGATTGCCATGAACCACAAAGAAAGTCGAATTGAGGGAGAGTCGATTCAAACTAGAGCCAGAAGTAAGTGCCGCCAGCACCATTTTTGATCGAGATGATCCGCAAAAAGCCAAGAACTGCCGATGCGACTTGCAGCTGAGATCTTCCGCAACACTAGTAAACAACAGGCCAAAACACACGGTTTTGAAAATCGTGTATGGTAACCGTGTAAATCGTGTAAGCTAATGAAAATCGTGTGGAAGTCGCGTCAAATGGTGTATTTGTCGCATAGAAATGGAAGCAAACTGTGCAGTAACGATTCAGGGAGTGTACATGATTTTTTACAAGTTTTGACACGGTTTAATGCAATTCTTACAGTTCGAAACAGTGTATTTTGGCCGATTTTTACTTGCGCAAACAAGTCAGAAACATGCCGCAGCATGGCTTCAGCGCGGACCCCACACCACTCGCCTTCCCGGCATATCTCTCTCCGCTGGCGTCCTTGAGGAAAATGTCCTTCTGGATCCCGGCGTCGTAGGCGGGGTACCCCGGGTCCACCATGATGCCGGGATCGATGATGGGCACCCAGCGCTGGTTGGAGTCGTGCAGGCGCTGCAGGTAAGACCTCATTTTAGGCAGCGCGTAGTTCAGCTTGTCGAGGGTGAAGTCCCTGTAGCCGTCCATGTAGTCGATGTCGTTCCACATGACCTCCAACGGGATGTTGGCCGACGCGTAGCCATCCACCACTGACTCGAGCTCCTCCACGTTCTTGTAGCCGTACCTGTGCCATGCACGAATTCGGCGCCCACGTTCGAAACTCACTCTTAATCATCGAAAACCGCTTTTTTGTCTTTATTAGGTGAGAAATGCGCAAACCTGCAGGACTACTCATAAGGCTTTCTGCAGTTTTGCGCGTTCACGCATCTTGCTGTTCACAGCCTTCTTGGCTGCCGTCCAAAGGTGTGCCGTGTTCTCAACAACTGCAATTTCCACATTACCTGTGTTTCCAATAATGTTCATTACATTTTTACATGTTTACAAAATTATTCGCCGCATTTTCGCACCTTTGGACCATGTGGCAGCTTATTTGGGGTCCGTTTCACTGTCAGTCGGCTGCACAAGCAGCGCAACAGCACCTGCGCGCTGCGGTCTGGTGGCGCAGGTCGTGGCATACATTGGTGCAGTACTGCGGTGGTGCGATGCAGCAGTTCGGCACAGCAATGGTTTCCAACCGCTTGCGAAGCGCCGGGTGGACGCACCTGCATTGGTGGAAGCCCAGGGACCACAGGGGCGGCATCATGGGCCTGCCGATGACGTCCTGGTACTGCTGGATGACGTCACTCGGGCTGGGCCCCAAGAAAAAGTAGAAGTCCAAAACGCCGCCCACGGCCCTGCCGCGGCCACAGCGAGGTGTTCAGCCGCCAAGAAGTCGATACCAATTCAGCACAATCCATTCGATTTCGTCCTTGGTGTGTGGCAGGCTAAACCCGGTAAAAGCAAAGTTTGCGTTTTGTGAGGGGCACTGCCATGTGTTGCAATGCCTGCTGAAAGGACAATGGACGGGAAATCTGTCCGCTGTTTTGAAGCTTTTCATTCTATTCATACACTGCGCGGAATAAACAGAGAACGAGCCAATCCAAGACATGCCGGAGGAAGGTACGAAAGAATCGGGATAAGCTGAGCATGGAGCAAAAGGAAAAAGCTGCTGAAATTGCAATTGAATCCTCTCTGGCCCCACTATGCTCGTGAACAATGGCCGCAGCAAAGTTTGTCATGTTTATCTGTTTAGGTGGTGCCATCATGGTTGGTACAACATTGGTTCATTGGTTCATTGTTTCATTAGTTCATTTCCCAAAGCATCGAACACGATGCCTTGAAACATGTGTATGCCGATGCACGTCAGACATAAGCAGATGCAGCACCACACGTCGCATCAGTGAGTTGGCATTGCTGCCAGCCGTGACCACTTGCAGAAACATTTACGTTGTTGTGCAATATGCATATACCCATGCGCGTTTGGCCCCTCAGTCCCTTATGAGCAACTCCATTACTTGTGTGCATAATCTTCTGCAGTGTAGATGAGACCAGCACGTCCATACATAGCTGGGTATGCACTGTGTATGGCTTGTTCGCAAGCATCCGCAACCCCATGCACCAATGGCAACGGAAAAAGAAGAGGGAAAGTGTGTCGGTCAAACAACGCGGCCACATTGCATCTGTGTGGCGGCAAATCAACAGCTACCTTTCGCAGATTGACAGAACTGGAGCACGTTCGAAGTGATGCTGCCGGTGTCTTTGTTGTGACAAAGCAGCAGCTGCACTTGAAGTGCGGTGAGAATGCACCAGTCTGAGCACAGCAATTGCAGAAAAAGGGACTGAAAAACAATAGTTAATATGTATTCTGCATTTGTAACACAATAAAGGTCAATCTGGAGTTTCACCACGCCAATGCGTCACCTGAATTCAATCATTGATTCCGTGTACAGCACGTCCATTCCGTTGCAGTTGAGGAAGAACACGCCATGAGCCAGGCCACCTGAGGCGCATTCAAATCAAAGGTCACGTTATCAGAAAGAAGGACGCGACACAGCAATAACCAAGCTGGTTCATGACCGTCAACTGCCCTGCAGCCATACCTTTGAAGGGCCCCAGAATACACGCAAGTCGTCGCTGAATGTACTCATTATTGTGGTATGTCCCCATGATCACGCATTGAAATCCCAATAGGATATGAGTGCATTGAAAACATCCATCAGCCAGGAGCATCCGGCCACCATGGCCTCTATGGGCGAAGAACTGTCTACACCCGGTGCCGTCAATGAGGGTGTCCAAGTGCCGTCATCGTGGGGGCATCTTGCAAGGATGTGACATCATCTCCCAAGCTGTTATGCCCACAAGCCGAAATACTTCAACAGGCTAATCATCGACCTCAACAGGCGAATTCTAATTGCAGCATTCGTCTGTTGCGGTCGATGCCTGTGTTACTATGGCAATGCATTACTGCCACGACTGAGGGCGTTGCGGATCTCACATGCGGCAAATAATCAAGTCCGTGGCACACATGAGAATCGAACTACCCTTTGTACACCCATCCGAAGCCGACTGTTGGACAACTGGCACAAAATCAACTCATTCAACCTCTCAGTCAGCCCAAATCCGATTGCACCAAGCCTCAAGGCGAGATCCTGATAATCCAAACATACAGGCAACAGCACGAAAATATAGACATCGAAACAATGTGGTGCGTCCTGAAACACCTCTTTAGACTGCTTGGAAAGAATGTGAGCAATTGTCAGTGGTGCTTAAATACCATCTGTGAGTGCTTTGTCATCACTCAATAGTTTTGTTAATATTCAAACAATATGCAAGTAAATCGGCAGTAATGTAACATTCTTGTTTGTCTGTTGCCTGCAGGAATATTTTGATTGGAATGTATTGTCTACTGCTTGGCGTTAGGCGCAGTGGTCACCTTCACGGATGTCCAGCAGGAAAGGGTGAGTTCCGTAGAGGTTGATGTTGGCGTTGGCCACAGGTATGTCTCGATTCCACATGGTCGTCATGGTCCCAGGGCGGAGCCGCAGGCCCGTTGGGCGAGTCGTCTCGCCTGGCAAAGGGCACATCTAACAGTCGCAAGCGATCGATGATCCCCAAGCGGTTACTGTTGGAAGGTTCAACCCTCCTTGGCGCTTGATGCATCGATGCGCTAATGCACCAATGCACTGGAGCGCAAATTTGGCAATAATACTGCTGCCTGAGTTCTGCCATTTTTTGCACGGCAGGAAACAGGGATCTAAACCGGGTGAAACGGGAAAGTGCACCTATGATATGCACACACATTTACGCATTGCCGTGTGCATATCAGTCCAGGTGGGTTGTGGAACGCTGAGAGACAAATGTAGAACACACGGTGTCCATTGGGGTCTGAATCACAGGTTGCTTTACGTCCTCACCTCTTGACATTTACTGTGGGCTCATATCTGGAGGTTCAGAATCCACTGCAAACATGCTGTTACTCACCTAGGCCGTACAGAGCCGCAGACTCAGGAATTGATGACGTCAATGCGACGTACTGATCCTTGAAGAAGAGGCTGGGATTGCACGCACCACGCTGTCAGTCAAAGAAGGCCATGAAACGAATGGACACATCTATCTTCCTTATCTACTTGCAAGCTGTTAATCAGCATTCGGGGCAGCAATGAAGGACAGTGTGCTGCATAGAATTGAACCCACAGGAAACCACAGCACTGCCTTATAGCTTTATTGCATGGAATCACAATAGAGACGACTTCTGTTTGCAACAAAGATTGCACGAGAGACCTGTACACTGGCGAAATGGGTTTTTCTATATCAAGATGTTCCATGACATTCAGGTTGCACCATTTTGGAGCACTTCGCACAGGCCATAAATGAGCGAAACAGGGTTTGTTCCACTGGAGGAAACGGATGCCAAGAATGTGGGGAAGATTTTGTCCACTTGGCACATCACTAATACCCGATAATCAGAAGATTGCAGCCATACGAAAGCATATTGGAAAGTGTAGAATGGTGAATCTTTTGCCATATTGGGTGGACCAGGGTCAGTCAAACAAGAGACTGCAGTGCTAGGCTCCAGTGGCAATGTGTGCACATCCAAGATTTGTCTAGTAGCAACGTCCTATCTATCTGATGCACACAGAGTGTGCTTTTGCACCCACATGCATGTGAACTACAGTGCAGCACGGTATGCTGCACTCCAGTCCTGTGCACTGAAGTGCACAGGGGGTACATCTATCACTGGAATAAATGCTTGCCAGATGTGTGCATCAACACCAACTCAGAGTAGAACATCTTCACAGCCAATCGACCGTAGACTGGTGGCATCGAACATCCAGCTACTGCTTCCGCACCTGTGACCTGTCGTGTTGAAGAGCACTTCACCATTCTCTTTGCGGGACACTGTGAATCCAAAGGGGCTCTTGGTGTAGTTGAAGTCGTAGAGTGTCCCGTAAGATGCTTTTGATGGCGCCGGCCTGCACAACAACGCATTGCCCTCACTACTTTCCTCACAAGCTCCCAACACACCCACAGTCTGCAGTGCAGTGATGTTGCACACTATACTGCCCCACCGCCTCTGTACACAACAGTCCAGAACACGTTTTCTTGTGCCCCATTTATTGTCGCTGACAATAAATGGTGTCCAAGAGAATGTGTTCTGGACCATTGTGTACAGCAGTGGTGGGGCTGTATAATGGGCTTGCGATCTCTGCTCGATGGGCCTTTCTGAGCATGTGCTTTCTACAGGATGCAGTGACGCCCCTGCACACTTGCCCAATGCAGGGTAGCGTGTTGGTGGGAGTGACACAAAGTTGCAAGAATCTAAGCGCAGAGCTCAACTACAAAACACTGTCGCCTGTGCCTGACAGCCTGCTTTGTGTGGACGCCCACCTGGGCAGCAGCGACTCTGGCACCTCCCACCGAGCTTCCGTGGGGTCCGTCAGCTTCACATGGAGCCTTGTGTTAGTCTCGTAGGACACGGACAGCTTAAGGGGCGAGATGTCCGGCCCCAGGGAAGGCAGGGCAGGACTGGCAAGGACCAGGGTCGCCTGGACGCCACTGCCTGTCACAACAGTTGCACACTGGCCTGGGTAAAGCACTGGACAGGTGTGGTGTTGTGTATGTACTACGATGCTGAAATACTGCAACAATTTCGTACTTGCCCATATCAGTGCTGCAAGTGCAGTAAATGAATGCACTGACTGTCACCATGCACGGACGGAATGGACACACACTCTGCGAGAGAAGACACGTGTGTGTTGCATCCTTTCAATTGGATATGTGTTTCCTCTGTGGTCAGGGAATATCCACGGAATGTCAAGCAACAGTCCAGTGAGAGAGAAATGTTTGCGTGAAGACACATGCTGAAATGGCTAGTAGAACATATTTAGGCTGCCACTAGCCGTTGGGTTCCCATCGCGCCTGAAAGAATAACGTCAGTGCTTTGTACAATGACATCGTCTGTGTACCAAATTATGTCGTCCAAAATTGGTGATTACATGATCGTACGTTGTAGTGCCCATATCCTTGCTTAAATTCTACGGGACAGTCAAAGGGGGTACGTCCAGTCTCCCCGACCCCTGAAACCCCAGCCTTTTACGTTATTTGCGTTCGGGAGTCAGTTCACAGCAGCAAGTGCAAACGCTGGCCCGAGCAATTGACCGCCCGGCGACGCGTTTGACATCCAAAGGTCAAAGGTCAACGGGGGGCGTAAGCAGCTTGTGCACCCCCAAGTCAGAGACCACCGGAGGCTGCCCCCAGCTTTCCACAGAAACGGCCCACCCACAACACTGTAAAGCGCCAAGGCCAATGCAACAACGTGATGATATGCTCACAAGTTCTGCGTGGAATGATGATATGATGTGACATTATGTACGAATGTACGGATGGGCGGGACGTCATGTGCAGACGCGAATGTGTGGACAGAGTGGACAGAATCACCGCATATCCGTGGGTGACGTGCCGTGAGATTGTAACCCTACTTCGCCCGCTGTGCCCACGGCTTCACCTCGGTCACCGAGTTTTCAAGCTGACGCTCGACATACCACCCACAACACTAAAGAGAACCAACCCGCAATTCGTCAGGGCACCGATTTTTCAGGTTGATGGCCGGAAAGGGCCTTCCCTGTCGGCCAGCGAGGGCCTTCCCCTCCCGCAGAGAAAACAGTAGTCCCTCTGTCTTTTCCGTGGAGATCCTTCTTCCTCCGCTGACAAGGCCAACGCCGGTCAGTGGGTCAGTAGTTTAGGGTTCAGGGTGTCCGAAACAAGAAGGGGTCCTCACGAAAAAGACAGAGCGACTAATCGGGTGCCTCCCCCCGCGTCCTCCCCCACCTGTCTCCTTGCAGCTCGAGGCGTTGTAGGCGGACGCATGGGAGGTGTCGTGGAAGCACCACGGCACGTCGCCCACGCCGCTGGCACCGTCGACCCCTTCGCCGGCTTCGTCTTCGCCGTCGGCGCCGTGCACCGGCCTCCAGCAGCAGCCCCTCGAGACGCACGTCGGCCCGTCGATGCCCACCCAGCCTGCGCAACGACAGGGATCGGAAACGGGCAGATCGCGATGAACCAAAAACGCGGAGAGCGAGGAAGGGAAGGGGGAAGCGGAGGCCAGCGCGGAACCATGTTAAAAAGGCGGATAGATTCCCAGCTGGGGGTTTGTCAACCTGACGGGCGCCCCCTCACCCCCTTGCCGGGTGGCTCGCAGTTTCTGCACGTGCTAGGGACCGACAGCCAACTCGCAAATACTGACCTCGATCCTTTTGGCGCTGCTTGGCGGACTGGATTTTGCTCACGGGGGCTCTACGATGGAAGCATGTGATGGAAAATAATGACAAAGTAGCCCTGGAAATTACCTGGCGGGAGGCGATCTTGGTGCCGGCGTGCACCAGGGGGAGTTCCGCCTCAGCGACCGGCGCGATCGGACGGAGCTGAGCGGCGCGGATGGGAGTCGTGCGGGCGGCCGCAAAGCGGCAATGGGGAAGGGGAAGGATCGAAGAATTCGTGGGTCGGTGCGCGGGGATGTACAGGCCGTCGGGGAGCAGGCACTAGGCTGTCCTTCGCACGTCTCACATGAGGAGGCTGTATGCGTCAAGCAGTGCAGCCGAGGGATTGCCGCGCCTCCCAGACGACCAGGAGGCGCAAGAAGCGCGAGAGGCGTTCGGGCATCACGATCTGCTTTCCTCACGGGCGGCGCTGCACTCGGCGGCGCGGTCATTGGCACATGGCCTCACAAGGCAGCGGGCTCACAACGTTGGCCGTGCGGCAGCCAGGGCGGGAACAACTCCCCGTCGCCCCTTCCTTGCGCCCATTCGCGCCGAACCCCGCACTCGCCGCGCACTCGCCGGCGGCGCATCATTCAGATTGCGCACACGGATTGGACAACGGCAGATTTTGAAACTCGCCCCTTGAGCTATGAGCCCGGGGTTTTGACGGCCGGGCACGGGGGGGCCTCACAAAAGAATGAGCTTTCGCGCCGCTCACCGCAGTCCATTCTCGGCCCCTCGACGGAGCAGCTCGAGCCTCGGGCGGCGGGATGGCTCGCCATCGCGATCGCGGCCGCCAGCAGGAGGATGTGGCCCACTGGGAACCACCGCGCCATGGCGAGCAGCTCGCGGGCGCCTGGGGGAGGGGAGTGGACGCGGTGGAGGCGGGCGGGGCACCGCAAGGGTGGTTGTATTATCGGCATGCGTAAACCCCATGCTGGAGGGCGTTGGCGCAAAACGCAGGCCCCGGAGATTTTTTGTTCGGGAGAAAAAACATGTGCGCGGTGCTTGATGGAAGACGGATTTTCTTGCGGGAGAAAATGTGCACTGCGGGGCAGGGAGCATGCCGAAGGGGAAAAATTGTCCGTGCCGGAGTTGCCCGAGGGATCCCGAGGCATTTGTCGTTCGGCCCCGCCGCGCCCCCGTACCATGGGCTGCCGCCCTGTCTGCCCGCCGGCAACCGTTGGCGGTTTCACCTCAGGTAAAATCCCCCACACCTTGGGGGCGAGGTGTAATACACATCAAGTAATGGCGGTCGCATTACAAATGCCGATTCCCTGCAGGCTCCCGCCCACCTTCGCCTCGACCAGCGCCGCGCCGTCACCCAGCACCACCGCTCTCAGGGGCAGCGGGGACACGCACAGGCCCATCTGACTCGTCATTTCGGGCGCCAATCCCGTTCCAGGATGGCAGAAAAGCGTCAAACAAGGCGCCCCGGGGCTGCCGGAAAGGCCAAAAGGGCCTCGAGATCGCCCGCCGCAACCCTACAGGCTGCAACATCCGCGAACCTCCTTCCCTCCTCATCCCATCCCCTCCCGGGGAATCTCCACCCCGGCCACCTAAACTTCGTGACGGCTCCGCCGGCTGCTGCCCAGCTCCCCCGCGGCCCGGCTGCACGCACCCGCCCCCTGGTCAACGCCTACATTGACCTTGCCTTGACTAATTCGCCGGCACCGCAGGCGGGCGAATTTTCCACCCTGGCCCGACATGGGCGGCGCAACGGGCTGACGGGGAGGGGGGGGGGGCCGGCGGGCGGGCGTCCCGGCGGGATTGCCGGTAAAAGGACACTGCGCAGCACGGCGGCTGTTCGCACCAACCAGACACACTCACTGGGAGAGACACGCAGCCATCGGCGCGCGGCGACCGCGCCCGGGACCAAGCCGAGGTGGAGAGGGCGGAGGGGGAAGGCGGCGAAAGGGGGAAGGCGATTTGCCGGGAGAGAGATAAGGTAGGCTGCAGATCGGGGTGGGGGGGCGGGTTGGACGGCGGGGCGCTTGGGCGATCGCGGATTGGGGTGATCGTGGTTTGCGGGGGGCCGTGGGGGAATCGGATCTCGGTGTGTTGCGGAGCGGGGTGCGGGGGTGTCGGTGTCGGGGGTGGGTCGGCTGGGTGAGCGCCGGTGTGAGGGGTGACTGCGTGGTATGGGGCCGGGGGGAGGGGAACGTTGTTGGGCGCGGTCGTTCATGGCGCGGGGGGGCCGGGGGGAAGGGGGTTGAGTTCTGGCGGGTGGGGCCCCGCGACGGGCGGGATAATAGCTTCGGGGTTTCGAGACTGGCGGGGCTGCGGGCGGCCCCCCGCGCTGGGCGGCGATCGACCAACTTTGGACACCGATGCCGCGGGGAAATCGCATCCGGATTATTGTGCACCCGGGGCGGCCGAATCTTCGGAGGGGAGCGAGGGGAGGCGCCAGCGGGAGGGGTGCACCATTTTTGGCGGCCGCCGGCAGCGGCCAATGGGCGGGG